TTAACAGAGCTGTGATAAACAGGAAAACTTAAAAAAATGGACCTGGCTTTATGGCTTGTACCAAACTTGAAACTCTTTGCAAGTGCATAGATATAACAGAAATACTAACTGAATCAGTTTATAGGTTTATATCCAACTCTGTGACGTTTACACACTTAGACTGTGTTCTGTGAGAGTCCTAGAAATGCGCTGGATACTGTAGTACAGAGGAATGATCACATTTAACACTCTTCTAGTCAAAATGACAAAAAAGTGGGAAGAGAACCAGAAGCTGCGGGAGTGAAAGTGACGAGGCATTTTCCTCAGAGCCACATAGCAGGTCAGTGGCCAGGCTGGAAACAGGAGTCTGGGTATATCACTTCAGAGTGATAGCCCACTCGCTTTAAACTACACTATCTGTCACAGGAGGATCAGAAACATGACGGACCGCCAAAAATAAAAGTGTGCAGACACAGGTGTGGTGGCTTGGATTTGGAAAAGAAATGCAAGGAAATGAACAGATATGAATGTCACTGGAATTATGTGAAAATATAACCCTTGTCATGGAGAGATAACTGCACGACAGCCTAGTCCATGATTTCTCCCAGATTTTGTCTGTCTGCGCTTTCTGCTTCACTGTCATTGCTTATGAATACAGAGATGGTACAGGTTTTGTAACTGGCATCCTGGCTGATATTTAAAGGCCAAGTCTGAAGTACTACTTTCCTGTACATCAATGTCTGATGGACTTTATGTAGATTATTTTCCCAGCAAGCATCCTAGTACAGATTCAGCTATGCCAACAGAAAACTTAGCACTGCTTACTTTGAGGGACTGGCGTTGGCTACATCAAGGCAGCGCGTACCTCATTGGGAGGTGCGACTGTGTTAAGGGTGTGCCTGTACTGCAGACTGAAGTGTAAAGTAGAGCTATCTGAATTACATGTAAAATAATATATTCAGGTGACAGTTACGCCATGAAGCTCTGAGCTAGTTTCTGTCAAGAGGCAAAATAGACGAGTACTCAGATATTTCAAAATCCAGGCTTTTGCTCAGATCCATTTCTTAAAGTCGTTATCTGCCTTTCTTTTTGAAAGGTGTGTAGCACTTTCAGATCTTCTTCCTACTTCTGTGGCACAGTTTCTGTCATGAACAGTTTGCAGTATCAATGTCTTTTAGCAGCTGGATGGCTGCCTTTCCCCCAGGCGTGAGTAACATGATATAATACCTGGTGGTTTTGGCTGAAATGGTTTAAACAGAAAAATGCAAAGATGAAACAATAAAGAGAACCAAAGTCTTCTTTCCTTGTAGTGCGTCACAAGGCTGATCATAGTGAGAAGTTCTACATGCATTATAACATAATACTGTTTACTAGTTTATCCTACTGAAATTATTAACCCTTTCACTACTGAACACTTTTAAAGACAACAAAACACTAATAAGCCCCTGGATGGAAAAAAAAAAACAACTTACAATGCAGGTTGGTATTTTATTGTTCACCAGGGACTTCAGCTTCCAAATTATTTAATGGCTTGGTAATGATGTTCAGCATGTATGTAGTAAGGTATGGCCAGTGCTGGTTTCAGGCACCACTTATGTGGGTGAATGACTGCAGAGATGCATAGTTGCATGGGCAGCCTGAGGCTGCTTATCCCAGAGGTCACATGTTGCTGGTGTCACTGGGAAAGGAGACAAAGCTACTGTCCTTACTGTCCCCTTCACCTCCTTGGTAAATCTGTTCCTGTGTTTTGTAGCTGGCTGGAGCAACCTGTCAGGTTAGAATATGGCAAGGTCAGACAATTAAAAGATATTTTAATTTTGCAAAGTAAACATTTATCAAAGACATTTACTTAGGAAAAGCAGTGTTGGTTGGTCAAGAAAGAAAAAACAAGTGCTTTGTTTTGATGACTTCTCCCATTTTTTTATGCAGATCTAGTATTTCCCAGTCTGGAGTCACTCTGGGTTGGACTGTTCACACCCCATCAGCAAGCTGTTGTCTGTATTTATTTTGTAGGAAGGAATTCTGAAAACAGTTAGGAAAGCAAAAAGTAAAATAATGAACTTAATGTTCATCTAGGGAATTGCTTTCTTAAGCATCCTCTCCCAGACCTACAGGGGTGCTGCCAGATTGAAGGACATTCACATTTTTAACATTATCACCCATGTTCAGGAACTCGTCAGAAGTCAAGATGGGAAAAATCTCAAGTCCTTTTCTAAGCCATGCTCTAGCAATGTCAAGATCTTTCACCATGCTGTATTTGCCTTTGCAGCAGAGGTGCCAATATTTGTTTTGGGATATGCACACTGTTTCATGTAGTTCTCAGGAACTTTCTTTGGATGCCTAGCTGTATTAGCATATTGTTATTTTTATCCTCCCTGCTATTAGTCATTCTCTTACAGACAAAGCTAAAAACCTGTCACTTCTAGAACCACCTCTGTATTCTTCAAACATTTGTAAACCCAACAATTTGGTTCTTTGTCAGCAGAAGAATGTACTTTTGATTTTAGTTTGAGAAAGAAAGATTATTTCAGTTCCCAGATTTGACATTTCTACGTATCAAATAATAGTTTATTGATTTTTCTAGAAAACAAAATTACACAAATGCTTAGGTTTATAAAGTCATCTTCTCTTAGTGTTTCTTCAGTATTTTTGATCATCTGGATCAAATAAGCAATTTATTATATAGAACTTGTTCAGTTTAGAAATAAATCTTGCCAGGTGATTTCTGTGTGTTTTTCACATGGACTCTCAAGGAGGTCTTCTCATCTGCCTCTCTCAAACTTATTAGAAGTGTTAATGCTTTATTTGTGGAATCACATTTGGTTTCTGCAATTTGAAAGCTAAGATACAGGAAAGGGAAAAATTATAATTGCAGGTGGCGAAGAGGTGGTATGCTCTTAAGAAACTCTAATCTTATCAACACAGGACTTTAGAAGTCCTAAAAGAAATGGGGAATGTTTTCCAGAAATACCGTAAAAACAGAGACTCTTATTACATCTTTCCATTGCCTCTGCTTTGCTTCGGAGGATTACATGCTTGCTGAACAAATTGCTGGAAAGGCATGAGACAACATAGAAGGTATTGGTGTGGACCTGAGGATCAGAACAACGTCAGATCATTCTTGATTTTTTTGTTACTTTCTCACTTAGGGCATGGCTGTGAATGATAATCATTTCGCCTGTTGTTTCTTTTTTCCCCACAAATCTATTTATAGTCTTGTGGCAAAACTTAACAGAAAAAAAATCCACCACTGTACCCAGTGGTGGAACCAGTATCAGGGACTACAGACGGGCATTGTGCAAAACCGGGAGTGAAAAGGCAGGGTAGAGGAGAAAATCTGATAAATAGAGATAGTGCCACTTCTTTTCAAATACACTTTGAAGTGCATGGATAGTCTGTAAAAGCTGTCTGTTCTTGGTTTTTGCTTTGTTATTGTTGTGACCCAAAAACCAAACTGATATCCCCCTGCTTTATGTATAATTGTCAATTATAAGAACCCCTAGAACTTGCACAATGTGTTTTGTCCTTAGATCAAAAGGTTGGGTGAACTTCCATACAGCTGGGCTGAGGGGCCCAGAAAATCCAAGGTTACCCAAGACATTGTAATGAGCCAATGACAGGACTTTGGCTAACATGAATATTCCTTATTTCGTATTCTAAATGGTAACTGGAATAAAAATTCAAATTGTCTATTATGGTTGAGGCAGAGTGGAAATCAAGCTTATCTTTTTTGGGAACTGGTAGCAATTTAAATAATGACTTAAATAGTTGTTGTTGTTGTTAATACTGTAAAGTATGCTCACATCGTAGGTGTACAGCCATACCAAAGTGTTACATTTTGCACTCACTTTTCTGCTAGTACTGAAGAACAGTGACTTGTGTAAAACATATGATCTATAGATTTACCAAAACCAAAAGGCACTCGTGTATCAAATGTGGAACAAACCCATGGGGCAGGCGCTGAGTATAATTTCATGCTGGCTGCTCATCTTGAGGAGCACGCTGATTCATTAGCTCAGTGGGAATAAAGTGGAAAGAAACCCCTTTAATTTCTGAACTCTGAGAATTTATGCTGATTTTGGAAAACACCTTAATAACACTGATGCTATCTCCTCCAGATAGAGCTGGCATTTAAATAGCACAGTATGGTGCAGGCTTCTGGGAAGTGTCTTGGCAGAGCCTGAGACTAGGAAAATAGTGGTCAAAGGTGCCATGTCCTGACAGAGGATGAGGACAGCTTCTACAATACAAGTCAAAAAAATGTTTTTCCGAATCCTAACATACATTCCTAGATAACAGCTTCTCCAAGAGATTTTTCAGAGACATCCAAGGACTGGCAGACTCTTTCGCACTAGGTCAGCCAAAGAGTCTCTTTGCTGAACGCGTCCTGGGCAAAAATGCCACCTTGGCACCTTTTATGGTGCCTTCACCATATCCTCATGCGCTTTTGTGATAACAGCAAATGTGTGAACAAGTATGTGGGGACGGACTGGAAAAGTGCTCTTCCTCAGTGTTTATGCCCTCTCCCCACTGGTTTCTTCTGTAGACCAAAGGGTATGGGAGAGAAAGGAAAAAAATGTGAACAAGGCAGAGAGGGAACAAAACAGGAAAATGACAGAAGATAAGTGGCAGGAAGACTTGCAGCCTGAAACTTTAGAGAGGAAATCTTTAAAAAATCACTACAACATGTGGGTTGTTTCTTTTTTAGGTCATTATATTTGAGCAAGAGCAGTACAATCATTGCTGTCATTCCTTTCATATTTCTTTCTGCATTCCTTTTCTGTGTTAAGCTGTCCATTGAGAACTGGCTGAATCTTATTTCTTCATTAGTTCTTGCCAGATTCTCCAGCATTTTAGCTAAGTTGTCTTTTTATCTTTCAAGACCAGCATATGAATAGGCCTTTCTTGAGCATGCAAACTATTGTGCAGACTGTGTTTTTATTTTAGTAGAGAGACGTAGGTAACTTCTGAATAATTATCTGAAATTTCATCCCCTCCCCTCTTTTTTTAAAGACAATTCCTCATCTCTTCAGGAAGATGAAGAGGTAGATATGGAGGCTGTCAACTGGCAGCTGAACAACACCTCCATGAATGGGCATTCATCTACCCCAACCACAGTTCGCTTTCCCAGCTGGGTGACTTTTGATGACAATGAAGTCAGTGTTCCACTGCAGAACCTTTCTCCCTTGAAAACAGACACCCCACCTGCAGAGACACAGACTCCAGATGTTAACTTTAACCTCACTACATCCTTTAAGAAAAGAGAACGTCCTAAAAGCACATTGGGTGACCTCTCCAAAATTCAAAAACTAGATCTCTCCTTCTTGACCAAGTTGCCTTCTGTTGAAACACCACCGTGGAGTGCTACTAATCCCTTCCTAGATGAATCTCTGCGAGATGTCCAACCCTCGCCCATCAATCCATTCAGCTCATTCTTTGAGGAGCGAGACAGGCGTTCCAAAAGTTCTTCTGTCTGCAGTGCTCCAGACAAAAGCCAAAGAGACTCTCTCATTATTCTCCATCAAGAGCCTGATACCATCAGTTTCCATGAGGCAAACAAAAGTGTAACCCACACGGATGCTGTAGAGCAGCTCAAGCAACTCCAGATTGGAGACCCAGATCGTGTGAGCAGCCCTACCTTGCCTGATGATGATCCCATGATGCCATATGATCTGGATGCAGCCTTATTTAACCTGCCACCAGCTCAGCCAAAGGATGGATGGCCAATGATGCTCAGGATCCCAGAAAAGAAGAATATTATGTCATCCAGGCACTGGGGACCAATATACGTCAAGCTGACTGACAGTGGGTGTATACAGCTTTTTTATGAGAAAGGATTAGAGAAGCCTTTCCGGGAATTCAAACTTGAAATCAATCATGAGCTTTCAGAGCGCAAACTCCAGAACTATGATGAGAATGGGAGGATACACAGTGTGCGGTTGGACCGCACAACCTACAAGGAGAAAAAGAAGTATCAGCCTAAACCAGCCATTGCTCACACAGCAGAGAGAGAGCAAATTATCAAGCTTGGGACTACAGATTACGAAGACTTCCTTAGCTTCATCAGTGCTGTGCAGGACACACTAATGAACTTGCCAGCCTCATCAACAGATCTGAGCACAGTGGGACTAAACTATCAAGAAGAAGAAATCACGGTTGATGTCCGGGATGAGTTTCATGGCATCTTGGCCAAAGGAGATGGTGTGATTCTCCAGCACAGTGTGCTGACCCATATCTATGTTCTCAGCTTCCTTTCTGGCCTGGCAGAATGCAGACTGGGCCTTAATGATATCCTGATCAAAGGGAATGAAGTAGTTGCAAGGCAGGATATTATGCCCACTACTACCACTAAGTGGATTAAATTGTACAGCTGTCGGTTCCATTCATGTGTAGATGAGGATACATTTAATAACTCGCGTATTATCCTGTTCAACCCCTTGGATGCCTGCCGGTTTGAACTGATGCGATTTAGAACTGTCTTTGCTGAGAAAACTTTGCCTTTTACGCTGAGGACAGCTGCCAGCATCAATGGTGCTGAGGTGGAGGTTCAGAGCTGGCTAATGATGTCCACTGGGTTCTCGTCCAACCGCGACCCTTTAACTCAGGTCCCTTGTGAAAATGTGATGATCCGCTACCCAGTGCCAAACGAGTGGGTGAAGAACTTCCGCAGGGAGAGCGTCCTGGGGGAGAAATCTTTGAAAGCCAAGGTGAACAAGGGTGCCACTTTTGGATCAACCGGTCTGTCTGGTTCTGAGCCAGTAATGAGAGTAACTTTGGGAACGGCCAAATATGAGCATGCCTTTAATTCCATTGTATGGAGGATAAACCGACTGCCTGACAAAAACTCAGGTGAGTGGTGCATACTGTCTCTGCAGGAGCAAATTAAAAGGAGTTATGTATTTTGGAAGATAGAGAACACTGGCTTTACATGGTGAGGGATAAATCATCCTCTGTAGAATGCCAAAGGACATCAGTTAGTTGCATGAAGCCCTTCATTGCAGTAGTTTTATGTATCCTGGAAACATTGCTAATGATAAAAACAGGTTTCGGTTTTCCAGATGCAAAAATATGCTTTCCATCTCTGCTCTTGTGAGTACATTATGGGACTTAGGCATCAAACGTCTCTGTGCTTAGCACTGTTATTGGAAACAGGGATTTTTCAGGTAACGTGCAAAGACAAGATGCTGTGCTGTGGGGCTGAATGACAGGACCAGATAAATTGCTGTAGTTCAGCAGATGTGATTTCTTTTCTGTGCCTTGCCAAGCATACTGGGCCAGTGCTGTATATTTTAACACATATACCACAGCTAATGCCTACAAAGTGTCTGGAATGACGATTGTAAGAGGACAGAACATATCGTGCAACCATTAAAAAAAATTTTCCAAACATCAGTTTGTGGCTATGTTTCTGTACTCAGTGCAGACAGGTAAGTACAGCTTAAACCTGAAGAAAGAACACCCACGTAACACCCACAAGCCTTTGTATTTCTAGTAACATGTTCATAATTAAACATTCAAATAATATGAGCAAGGTACTGTTCCTTTTGGCCATCGCTGCCCGTCATTCCACTTCCTGCCTTTCATCCATGGTGTGCAGTAAAGCTAGGCAACTCGGATTTGTTTTTGTTCAGCGTGAATTCTACTTCTTGATTTCTCAGATCCAGGCTAGCTTTATACAAGTGAGATGCACTTTTTAGTATTAGTGCTGTAGTAATGCAGCCGGGTGACTGGGTGGGTTTCCGTATTCAGTGTTCCCTGGAAGTTCAATGTCGTGCCAGATTTGGCACCAGATTTCTAAGGACATATGTTTTTCCTGACTTTGAGCTGTAGCGTCAGCAAAACACTGATCCAAGTCTTCTAATCTTTTGCATAGTATTTTGGCCCAAGGATGCCAGCTTACCATTTGCAACCATAGGTTACAAATTTGGAGGGATATCACTGACAAAAGTGAAGGCTCCGTGTTTTCTGTAGTGCAGGGCATAAGAAGAGAGAGCTTGGTAACTCAGGAGAAATATCGCAATGAAAAATTAACCTCAGGCTGTTTATGAGCAATAACATGCTTGTGAGGAAAATCTCACTATGCCATCTGCATGAGCTCTGGGAATGAGATGCTGTGAAATTGGGCCTTCTGTGGCATCTTCTGTCCAAAGATCTCCAAATAACAGATAGACATTACAGCTGGGAAAGCGAAAGCCTGCAGACTTTAACACAATCACAGAGCATGTTGGTAGCAAACCAGGAGGGGAGGCAGAACTCCTGGCTCTACTGCCTCCTACAAGGTGATGCTCCCTTATTCATCACTACTTTGAGGGAGATATTCATCTATGTCTCCTGTTTCCTTGATCCCCTCTCTCCCAGCACGAAGTTTTATTATATATACCCTGTGTCAGGGGGAAATGCATCACAGACACAAATTTGGCACTGCTGTTGGAGCCCTGCCACAGAGCATCTATCCATCAGTGTCACTGTGCAGAATGCAGGGCAGTTGGTATTTGTTTACATCCTGAGAGGAAGAGAGCATCCTCACCCCACTAGTCAGGTCAGATGTAATGTCAGGGAAAGGAAAGGCCTGGCAAGCACTGTCTTGGCCAGGATACAGGGTGGTATGTGAGAGGGAGGGAATCCCAAAGTGGTGACAGGGCATGCCAGATGTAGTTTAAATCTGACCCTGCCTCTCAAGGACTGTTTGCATTTCTTGACAGTACTTGTCCCATGGTTTTCCTCACTCAAAGTATTTGGCAAACAAAGAGGGATATAAATGGTACCAAATGCATTGATTCCCGCTCCTTCTTAGATTTGCCTAATGGACCACATAACTTATGACCACATGATACTGATGTGTGGTCTGTTCCCAATCTTCTGTATGCTTGGCTGTATCCAGCCCTACCCACAAGTCATATAATAATTCACCTCCACCTGTTTGCAGAAGTCCCTATAAATTATGCAGTTCTCAAGCACTAAGTGTAAAAATATTACCCTGACTCGCACTTCATGCTCTTACTGTGGCATCTGCAACTTACCCCTAACAGCACTCTGGGTCCTCTAGAAATGTCTGGTCTGGTAATGAACTGCTCTGGTGCCTGGGACGCCAGAGCAGGAGAGAGGTGGTGGCATCACACTGCGGCTGGTGAGAAATGCTGCAGGTAGCCACAGTCTCCAGCTCCATCCTGCCTCCAGAGGCCACACAGCCTGTCCACAAGACCAACCTGTGGCATATGCGTTGCATGACTCCCTCCAGTACATGTGCCTATGTGCCAGCCTTGCGTGTCCATCAAAGGAATACATATGTAGGCACAGACTTACTATGAGACCCTTTGTTCACCCATGTTGTGTGCTCTGGCACATCAGTCCCTTGTAAACGTGATCCCAGGAACTGCAGAGGACTCCAGGTAGCCAGTTGGACCTCTTGTGCTTCAGTCCATTCCCTGAATGCAGACTGGTGCAGGCTCAGTATAGACACCATCAGCCCTGACGGACAGAACTGCACCCCGCAGGGGAGGAGGGCTGGTCCCTCCCCAGGCTCACTGCTTGCCTTCAGGTTGCAGTATCCTAGCACCCAAATGGTTAAGAATTATTTCAGCTGCTTTGCTGTCTTATCCAAGTGTTTTCTCTTTGTGCTTTCTAAGGGGATGGGGCCCTTCGGAGTCTCGCTATAGGAACTTGTTATCAGCACTGTCTGAACTGTTTTGTAGCTAAAGTGTCTGCTTATGACCAGACATTGAAAAGCAGATGACAAATGAAGGCCTGGGTGTACTCTGACTATGATTTGATGTAAGAAAAAACTATGGACTGGATTTTCCTGAGTGCCTTATTGAAATACTTTCCAAAATAGCTTGTTAAACTTTATTGCCCTTCTCATATTCACAATTAATATGATCAGAGCAATTGAGAAAGAAAGCCTGTTTACAGGCTCTGCAGAGCTTCAGTTTCAGCTGGCTGGGCTCCACGTGTTTTATTTTTTTTTAATCCACCAGCCGAATATTAGGAAAACATCTACTCGGTCTCTGACCTTGGGAAAATGGTCTTCCTGCAAAGCAGGAATATAGCCTCCATGTAGAGCCTTGGATCTGGATATTTGAACTTGGGTCTAGTTTGGCTGTGGATCTCAGACATGCTGCGTGGTGTACTTTCTGAAGTAAATTAAATCCTTTAATCCAAACGTGTTGGGACATCAGAGTCATTTGGAACAGATTCACTCCAATCATGGTAACCTATGCATATATATGAATTATCAGATCCTTGATTGTCAGAATGAAATGTTAGTAGCTCAAGGAAGCAAGAGATGGAAAACAAAAGCAGTCTGTTGATTTCCTCCTGATTTTACTAAGAAATGTACCCTTCCATTAGAGAAGAAGCTCTGAATGAGCCTGTTGAACAAACAGAAAGTCTATAGAAGTTGTGCCTTGTGTGCCTCACACTTGGGACACTAATGAACACTGATGTGTTCAGTAGTTTTCCTATGGCTTTGGTGGAGGACTTGCTTTCTTAATCAGTTCATCTGCTCACCTACCATGCTGAGCTGGTTTAAATTAATAACTTCCTTTTTTTTTTGAGTGTTGTGCATGGTCTTTTTGTTGTTAGTGGGTACTCCTACTAGAAGAAATTAAATTATTGAAAAATTGCTTTATTACTTGCATTGTGTTGATTTTTTTTTTTCATTTTCCCCTTTATTTCCCCCCCACACTGTTTTTAGAGGGGGGTGGAGGGGCTGTGAATATCCACCAACATTCAGGTGTGTCAGAAGAGTGGTTGCTGATTCCATGTGTCCAGTTGAAATTATGAAAAGTTTAAAAGCTCGGATCTCCAAAGCACTTGTCACACAGTGTGCTGAAGCCCTGTTAAACACTTCCCAGTGTTACATTCACGTGCGTCCATCCCAAAAGCAAGTGAGCACATGCCAGCTCAGGAGCATAGTGGCACAAGTTGAACATTTTGTACCTGTGGATGTGGCTTGCGCCAGAGCACAGAGCTGCTCTCCTGGGCTGCTGTGGGCTTGTGCCGTAGCCCCAGCAGTCTGAAGGAGGGAACAACCCATGGCAAACTAGAGGAGAGGAAAAGCATAGCAAAGCAGGTGAGCAGGAAGGATTACAGAGGAGTCTGCTGAGAGTGGTGCAGGGTGAGGAAAGAGATACGAATGGATGGGGAGCCTGAGTCTGGGAGCTGGTTGCCAGTGATGAGTGCTGAGTTTTTGAGCCAGGAATGACTCATTTTTAGGCATCTTCATAATGCAGTGCCAGGAGCAGTCAGTCATTGCCAGGTATGTGCAGCGGCACCCGAGCGTCACATGGCAGAGGCTGAAGTGCCCTGATGCCACAGGTGTGCCCACCACAGCCAAACTCAAGAACTGGGCAGAACCGAAAGCCCTGCAGTGCTGGAGGGCACATTGTTCTCTATGAGAGCACACAGGGCTGCTGCTAGCCCATGGTGGGTGGGGTCGTCTTGAAGGTCTGCTGTGCGCCACTGCTTCTCATCCAGAAAAAGTGTATTCCAGGTATGAAAAGCTGGGAAGCGCTGTCAGAGAGAGATCTAGAACCAGGGCAACTCTGCTTGGCATTATTAATTCTGATAAATAGCAAGGTGATGTATTTTAATGCTTGCAGAACTCAAGCTTTTGTATCTGCTTGATACTGCACCCACTCATTCATAACTTGTCTCCAGCTGTGGTGCTGTGCATTTCTGTGGTCTCCGCTGAACTGCACATCCTCTCATTGGATTTGCTGCACACACATAAGTTTATAAACCTTCCAGTTGTGAGGAAACTGGTTAGACTCTTTGGAACTATGAGGCTGACTGTAGACAAAATTTTAACCCAGACTTACACTGGGTTAAATTTTTTTTCCAACTCTGTTTTGGATGCTGCAATGCCTAAGCCCTTTAAAGACTGATCAATTTCATCCTGTTGGTACAAGTAATATCTCAGAATCCTGCATCTTGCTTCTCAAGTTTTAGTTCAACAAGGCTGACTTTTGGGCTAAGCTCTGGATGAGGAGGTGACTTCCTTTTCAAGGCCCAGGCATGCAAGTCCTTCACAGGGAGTGTTCTCCTCTTCCCAGGGCGAGCTTCTGGGCTTTCTCCACCCAGTGCTTTTTACTCTGTGTGCCTTCCTCCCTCCTTGTCTCTCTCCTGTACACCTGTCTGAGCTGTATGGAGAGGAACATTCACAATAAACTAGTAGTCAGAAATCCTAAAGCCTATAACAGTAGCAGACAAGGATTCTGTTCATTTAGTTATACATTCCTTTCATTTACACATACATAGATAATAGGATCCTTTCAGTCAGAAAGCCCAAGATGGATGGATTTCAATTGGAAGAGGGCAGATTTAGACTAGATACTAGGAGGAAATTCTTTACTATGAGGGTGATGAGGCACTGGAACAGGTTGCCCAGGGAAGTTGTGGATGCCCCATCCCTGGAGGTGTTCAAGGCCAGGCTGGATGAGGCTTTGAGCAACCTGGTCTAGTGGAGGGTGCCTTGTCCAATGGCAGCAGGCTGGAACTTGATGATCTCTAAGGTCCTTTCCAGCCCAAACCATTCTATGATTCTATGATAAGGTGGCTTTGAAGGCTCTCATCCTCATTTTGCAGACAGAGAAACTGAGGTGCAGACCTTAAATGACGTGCTTAAGAGCTTAGGGAGTTGGGAGCAGTCAGAAATAAAACGAACGTAGCTTGACTCGCAGTCCCTACTTTGATTTTTAAACATGACTGCTGTCCAGCAAAATGAAGGGGAAAAAAAATAATAACAAAAGTTATCATTTACAGATGACAGAGCTAAGCGTGATTACTTCTTCACCTTGCCATCTTTAATGACTAGCCACCTTGTCATGGGTTAGAGTAAGGAATAAACAGTTTTCCAAGCTGTGCACAAATTTGCTTTTTGAAACCAGAAAAAATATTTAACCTTATATAGTTTTTTTTTTTTTTGCTAAAAATGGGGATAACAATTTCAAGTAAATGTTAAATATCTGCCAAATCCCACCTTTACTTACTATCAATACCTGACATTTCAGAAAGATGTGTCACAATCTGCTTAGCATGTTACATACACTGGGGGAATCAGAAGAGGGGAAATACCTTTACCCTATGGTGCTTGATTTATATCTTGTATTTTCACACACTAAAAGCAAACTAGAGTGATCAGCAGTCCTTTTTGCAGTTTATTTTGTTTAATTCCTCTGGAAACTCCAACAGTATTGAAGCAGGTGAGATAACTGTCACTAGCTGCAAACTAGTTCACCTTGGCAGATTCTGGGTTTCTTACAGTTTTGTGATGTTGCTTCCTCCTAGATGTTGTCTTTTTTACCCATCCAACACAACTTTCATGTCTGTTTGCTCTCTTTTTTCCAGCTTCTGGCCATCCTCACTGCTTCTTCTGTCACTTAGAGCTTGGCTCTGACCGGGAAGTGCCTTCCAGTTTTGTCCGCTATGTAGACGTGGAATTTGACATGCCCACCACTTCTGCGTCCAAAGCCACCGTTCGGTCCATCTCTGTTGAGGACAAGACCGATGTGAGGAAGTGGGTCAACTATTCAGCACACTACAGTTACAAGGTAAAACCAAGCATGTGGCAGTCACGATGGTTACTTTGCATACTACATTGTCTAGAAAAGTGTGGGCAGACAAATAGAATACCATGGGCGGATGAGGTGGGAATTTGGCACGTGCGGAGGTCTGTGCCGTAGCTACCCATGTGCAGCCTATTGATTCATGGCAAACGAGCACTGGATTATCCCTCAGCAAAGATGGAATAAACTTGCTTGCAGTTGCTTTGTGGAAGACCCTACGCACAGCCAGCTACTGTGGATTAGCTGATACAGTAAGAGTGTGAACAGTTTTGCAGCTCTTCACAGCAGCTACAGTGGGAGTGCTACAGCAGACAAAAGGATCACATTATTTCTGTGCTTAAATATTTCTTCTTCCTGCCTGCCCTAAAGAGAGGAGCAGATGGGAAAATGCAGTACGTATATACCTGCCAAGAATCTCAGTATGCCAAAATTTGCATGTTAGCTGATCGCTCAGCAGAGAAATTGGCATCCTACCTGCCTTCTGTAAGAGCAATGACGAGAGATACTGTAAAGATTCTCATGCAAATATTTTTAATAGTAAATGTAATTACATTTTTACTAGTTTCTTAAATTCCCTGGGGATGGTATTTGATCTTCCTAAGTATCCCTTTTAAGAATTAAACATTGGATTATCCCTGAGTTTTCAGAGGTGTTGAAATTTAGAACACAAATGTAGATGTGCATTTTGTAAATGAATGTCTTTGCTTTATACATCAGTCTTTGCAGAGTTTAAAATTGAGGATGGTCTTCTGCTGTCACTTAGGAAGTCACATATCCTCTGTAGATTTGGTTCTGGGTTTGGATTCAGAGTATGGCTGGGATGGTAATCAATATAAAATCGTGTGAGACCGGTTCTCTGCATGACGTTATTTCTTCTGGAAGTGACATCATGACACTGTTGAAACATAAAACTGTTTGAATTAGACTGAAAACACTTACAGTAAATCAAATCCAGCTTTCCCTCATCAGACTATTTCTCTTCATGACCCCCTCAGTTTACCAAGTGTTTCTTCACCTGAGCATGACACGAATCACCACTAAGGAAGATTTTTTAGTCTTTTGTTTTCCTTTCTCATTACAAGTGTTCTCCCTCTTTTCCCTCTGACAGGTCGAAATAGAGCAGAAAAAAACATTGAATGAAGACTTGAAGGGAGAAGATACTGCAAATGTCAATGAATGTGCTACGCAGTGAAGGAAGATCAGTCCACAAATCCCAAGAAGTGTGGTCAAATAACGACCTGGAAGAAAGGACTTGCAGAGTTTTGGTATTCTTCTTTAAGAAGTATGGAGTACTTCTTCTAAAGTAATGCTCTGAAGAGTATTATTTTTCCTTGTGATGATCCATACTTAGAGAAGAAGCTCACCAGTGGTTTGTTTGGAGTGGATCCATGGGCTTTTGCTGGAACGATTTAAGTACAGTTGGGGTGTAGACAGAGTGACTCGTATTATTGTCAAGCCTGCCTTTTCTGCCTCTTCACTGTCTAGGTTCTGCACTGAAGTATGGTCTGGCCCCCATCCCAGCCAATCCAGAAAGTAGCCTTTATCTCACTTACAATCTTGCCCTCCTACATTAAACATTTTTTTTTTTGATATGCCTCTTGGTTTGGTCATTGGCAGATTCACTTCCTTCTGAACTGCCAAATAAAACCCAGGGAGCATCAAGTGAAAAATGATATAAAATCTCATTTCTGAAGTAGTCAACAGAGTGAAAACCCTGAGCATCATTCTAGAGAATCAACAAACTCTGCATTTTAAACATATGTTTATATATGTTTATAAACATATGTTTATATGTGTATGTATATATATATTTATATATGACCATATAAAAAATGGTCAAGCAGATGAACTGGCTGGATGAACAGGCTGGATGGAGGATGGAGCCCTGGGGAGGCTGGTCT